CGGCATCCACAATGCAGGAAGGAGCGCTACCGCAGGTCCTTCCTCCCATCCGCCATAAGACTGTTTAACTCCCTACATTGATTACCTGCACCCTTCACTGCCACTTTTTTAGTGCAATATGTATATTTTCTTGTTTATAATGTATATTTTTTTCTAAAGGTTTACTTTAATTTTTGAGTGCTCTTTGCTTTTTAGTTCTTTTTTACTCTATTTATTGTGTTAACTCCTCTTCTCTCTTTTTCTGCACTGCCTACTGTACTAGTATGTTTCCCCCAAGGGGGATGAATAAAGCCCTACTCTACTCTACTCTACTCTATATTGTTATAGCCCACGTAACTGTCCAATCCAAGTCATGACTGGATTCCAAAATAAACATCCAATAATAATATCAGAAAAAAAATTGGGTTTTTATATTTGACAAATACAGTTGGAGCCCCCTGCTGTTCAAGGTTTTTTTGGTGGGATTTTACTAACAACCAATGATCTGCACAGTTTTCCCTTAAGAAATAACATTTTTTTTTTTGCTTTTTTCGATTTGTCCATCCATCAACCTCGGCTTATCCGGGGCCGGGTAGCGGGGGTAACAGTCCGAGCAGGGGCGCCCAGACTTCCCTCTCCCCAGAAACTTCCTCCAGCTCTTCTGGGGGGGGGGATCCCGGGGCATTCCCATGACAGCCGAGCGACATAGTCGCTCCAGCATGTCCCGGGTCTTCCTCTGGGTCTCCTCGTTTTTTGATTTGTATTCCATCTTTATCGGGCACCACTCTCGTATTTGCATAGTCATCATGCGTTTCCTCGTCTCACCACCATCCTTACCACTTCTTAGGACTCATCACTATTATGAAGAGTAATGCACAAAATAGAGAGAAAATCACGTAGATAACGCAAACACAATACGGAGGACGCGTACGGAAGTCGACGAACACGTGAAGTTAACAGGTGAGGCGGCGTGGGCTGCTCCGACTGCTCGGACACCTAGTGTCGGCGTCTGTAAGCATGCTCGTACCGTATCCCGAAATACTCGTATGTCGGGACGCTCGTATCTCGAGGTTCCACTGTTGTTTGTGTTTACTTTCACTTTCACTTTGAAGGAGAGTTCCTGTTTGTTTTTTTGCTTTTGAAGAGTTGCTATTCTTTCCTCATCATCTTTTAAGAGTTTCGTGTCTCTTGTTGCAGTGAGGATGAAGCCGCGGCCATGTACAAAGCGGCCCGTCAGCTCAACATGACTGGCTCCGGTTATGTGTGGCTGGTCGGAGAAAGAGAGATGAATGGAAAAGCTCTGAGTGAAGCTCCAGATGGTACGTCAACCTTCGCCTCCTCCTCCTCTTTTGTTTTTCTTCCTTCTTCTCCGACTCACACTCTCTCTGTGCTTCTCAGCTCTGCTTCCATCTTAGTGTCAGCCCGACTGTGGGCAGAGTCCCACGTTAGGAAGATAAGAGCTGGCATTTCCACCAGTCTGTCTGGCTCCATCAGGCAGACGTGATGTTGCCATGAAAAACAGGCTGCAGACAAAAATACCTCTGAGCCTCCGAGCTGTCACCACTGTATTTCTCTGTTTTTTAAATGAGCTATTTTTGTTGAGAACAAAAATAGACGCGGTGACAGAAGGTGGAAGAAACAAAAGCCCCTGAACTACTGAGTCATTTGATGAATAGTTTTATGCTATATCGCAGGGATGTCCGATATTTACTTTTTTTCCGATATGCCGATATTGTCCAAACACTTAATACCCGATTCTGATATCAACCGATACCGATATAGGCCTGGTAATACTTATTTATTTATTGCTATGCTGCCATCTAGTGACTTCCACTGTAATATACAGCCGTTTATCCCCAAAACTATTTTTAGGTCACACATCATTTGGCGAAACCCAGGCGCTGCGTTATTCATTATCGGAGGAAAAACCTATAACGATTCTTTCAGATATTACATAATATGCTAATATCGAGCCGATAATATCGGTCGGCCAGTAATATTGGTTGGCCGATCCAATCCAGGTCACGACTGGATTCCAAAATAAACATCCAATAATAATATCAGACAAAAATTTGGGTTTTTACATTTGGCAGATACCGTTAGTGCCCTCTGCTGTCCAATTTTTTTTTTGGGAGGCGATTTTGCTAATAACCGATGCTGACGATCGGTCAATAGATAGGTAGCTCTTCTTACACGTGGGTCACTCCAGTTGACCTGTGCTCACACAGTCAGATGCTGTTGTGTGTAAATTACACTGTAAATCACAACCCTAAAAAATGCATCACAGCACTGATTTAAATTTATTGATTTTTTTTTTCATGAACTCAGAGAAACTTAGGGAAAGTTCTTATGTCGTATTATGGAAATCCTTAAAACCCCGACAGCCTAGTGGTTCAGATGATGAAGTGCTGTTATCGGTACTGTTTTCAGGTGTTGCTATTAATTGGGTTGTAAAGTGAAATTCCGCATTCTCACGAGCCTCTTCAATCCGTGCCTTCACCAACCGAGTTCGTATTTCTGTCTCCAGGAGGATGAAGGAACTCATTAGTATTCATCGGGTGTGTACCGTGACTTTCATGCTGGCAAATTTACAGCTGCAGCTATTTTTTTTTTTTATGAAAAAAAGGAACACAAACACTTATATCAAGACAATGAAAAAATTGCACCTGTCTACCTCTCTCTCTCTGTCTCTCTGTGTCTCTCTCTCTCTCTCTGGTAGTGCTGTAGTTCTGTGTTGAAGGAAGCTAATCATCATCTCAGCTGGCTTCTTAGCTTCCTGGTATCTCTATATCTGGTTTCCTCTGACCTCCGGTTGAACGTTTAAACATCAAAGGCACATGTTTAAAGGTTCCTAACATATTGAAACACTCTTTGACACACTTTGATTTGTAGAATCAGCAGTCTCCGGGCAGACAAGACTGACATTTGAAATCTTCAGAGGGGTTCCTCAGAGTGTCGTACCGGTAACCGTACAATTCTGTAGTCGCAGTACAAACTTTTTTTTTTCAGATTGTGACAATTCATCAGGAGCCGTTCGTCTACGTGAAGCCAACCAGGAGTGACGGGACATGTAAAGAAGAGTACAGTGTGAATGGAGTCTTGATCAAGAAGGTGATTTGTACCGGACCCAACGGTACTATACCAGGTACTCTTACCAAGAACGTTTGATGCTGTGAAAAATAATCTTTGAACTTGATCTCAACAAAGAAACATTTTCAAACTTTAAAGACTCTTGTCGCTTACATGCGTTTTTCATTTTATTTTCCCATAAGGCTGAGCTTCAACAGGGTTTAATACGCCTCACCGTTGCAGATACCAACGAGAGGAAAATGTTGATTTTTGATTGACAGTCGATTTGAATGAACTGATTATAAAGTTCAGAAGTTCTAACGACATATTAATAAAACGCTAGATATTTTATCAAGTGTTTGTAACGCTGTGTCCAGGTCAGCCCACTGTTCCTCAGTGTTGCTACGGTTTTTGCATCGACTTGCTCATCAAGTTGGCGATGAGCATGAACTTCACCTACGAGGTCCACCTGGTGGCAGATGGAAAATTTGGCACGCAGGAGCGAGTGAGTATGAGGGGAGTAGGTCGTATCAGCTAGCTTGTTTGGGGTTTTTTTTTTTGTTTGTTTGTTTGTTTTTTAGGCCTGAGGTGACTGTATTTTTTAAGGTCTTTTAATAATTTCTGTTCTTTTTTTTTTTGGGGCCATTTTAATTGAGGACCAACATCTGGACAGCTCTCCGAAAAATTGTCTAAATCAGTGATTCACAACCACTGGGCCGTGGCCCACTAGTGTGCCGTGAGAGATCATTAGGTGTGCCGCGGAAAATTATCCAATGTCACTTAATTGGTCCCAAAACTATTATTTATTTATTGCAAATATTTCTTTCTTTGTTCGTCAATGCGTGTCAGGCAGAGCAATTAAACCTTTCACTAGGTGGCAGCAGATGGTTATTTAAACTAAGAAAAGATAATCAAGTTGAAGAAGATCTTTGTCTTTCTTCAATTCCTGCCAGTATATGAGCGTTGACTTCAACTAAACAGGAGTACATTTTTAGTCAATTTAAACTAGAAATAAATTATTATATTTTATTCCATTCTTTCACGATGTCTTCAGATGAGAAATCTCCCCTCAAATTGACGGCTGGGGCCGAGACATCAATACGTCATCATGACATCATCAGGGCTGTGGGTTTGATGACGGACAGTCCGTCAGTCTGAGTCTATGATTGGATTTTACTGTCGCTCTCCCTCTCTCTTTCTCCCTCTCTTTCTTCCTCTCTCACTCTTACGCTGTTTTACTGATTCAACACCAGCCCGCCGCTGATGCTTGTTGCTATGGTTACCAGCCTTCCGCCCCTGGCTGTGACCTTGTTAAGTCTAAGAATTACATTAGTTGTTCCCCTCTGTCACTCTCTGTCTCTCACTCGCTCTCCCTGTCCTTCCTGACCCCCCAATCCCCTTCTTTGCCCCCCGTCACACCTTGTCTTTCTTTTTAAATCCTGATTCGGTGCAGTTTTTTTTTTTTATTCTCATGGACCAACAGACACTCCTGTCCTCTGCTCCCTACTGTAGGTCAACAACAGCAACAAGAAGGAGTGGAACGGGATGATGGGGGAGCTGCTGGGAGGTCTCGCCGACATGATCGTGGCTCCTCTCACCATCAACAACGAGCGCGCTCAGTACATAGAGTTCTCCAAACCCTTCAAATACCAGGGGCTTACTATCCTGGTCAAAAAGGTAGGCTTGTGCTGCAAACGACAACAGCAACACCGCTAACACAGGTGTCAGAGCAGGGGTGGGTAAACCCTTGGCTCACGAGCCGAAACGAGGTTCAGTATTGCTCTGACGTGGAATGCGGGATGAAATTATGGAGATACAATGTCCTAAAACAGGGGTCCCCAAACTTTTTCCTGTGAGGGCCACATAACTTTTCCCTTCTCTGATGGGGGGTCAGTTTGTAACAGAAAAAATGTGACGATTGCAGGAGTGCCTAAACGTAAACATTTATTGTTTTCCAGAAAGCACAATCAAATAACCGTTTCTGGATTCTTCACAGAACAAAAGTCAGGAAATAAATAATAACACTATTAATGAAATAAATAATAATCAAATAACCCTCTCTGGGTTCTTCACAGAAAAAAGCCAGGAAATAAATAATAATATTTATGAAATAAATCTCTCAAAGTTCTTGTGTTCCTTCCTTATAATCCTTTTGTAGGTTCCAGCAGGCTTGTAGACGTCGCTGTTTGCAGCTCTCTCTCTCTCTCATCAACTTCCCTGTGAAAACCACAAAGCAAGCAGGCTGAGAAACTGAACTAAGTGATACAGCATCTGCACAGCACAACCAGTACCACTGCCAGTATGGTTGTGGAGATGGATTTTATCCCAGTAGATTTTATTATGATTATATTTGTTTATACTCAGAATGACTCATTCAAGTCAGAAAAGTGAGCTTACCTTTGTATGTTCATCAGTGTGAACTGTGGGCCTGCATCTGGCTGATGAGAAGTTGAATGTCAGGTTCCATTCTAGTCACTGCCAGTCTCAAACACTGATGCAGATGTTCATCTGTCAATCTTGATCTCATTGAATTTTTCAGCAGTTTCATGCCTGAAAATGTTTGCTCGCAGATATACGTGCTGTCAAAAAGTGTGGACATCTTCATTGCGTGTTTTCTGATGTTAGGGTACGTGTCGTTTGGGAGGGCGGCATAGAAGTCAATGAGACTGTTGGACTTGAACGCGTCTTTCAGAACATCACAGTTCTGTAACTCGGCCAACTCAAACTGATAAGAAGGCTGGGCTTCCTCAATGTCGGCAACAAAGGGGTTCTGGAAAAGACGGATTTCTTTTGCATAAACATGTAGTTCACGGAATCGCACACCGAACTCCGCCTTCAGCATTTCCAGTGCTTCCACACACTTTTCAGCTGGAAACGGGACCGCTGGTTTCTCTGCAGAGAGATTTTGTGTAGCAGGGAGATGGATGAAGCTGTGCTTTTTCACTTGTCCCAAAAGCAGCTCTAGTTTCACCTCAAATGCTTTTATGTGGGAATACATGTCGCAAATGAGTTTCCCCTGGCCTTGTAGCTGCAAGTTAAAGCTGTTCAGCGTTTCTGTCATGTCTCTTAAAAATGCAAGGTGCCATTTCCATTCTGGGTCGCTCAGCTCTGGCACTGTTTTGTTTTGTGTATGAAGAAATGCGTTAATTTCAGGTAGCAGCTCGTAAAAACGCCTCAAAACTCTCCCCCGGCTCAACCATCGGACCTCTGTGTAGTACAGCACATCTCCGTGCGCAGATTCCAGTTGAGACAGGAATTCTTGGAACTGCCTGTGTTTAAGTCCCTTTGCTCTGATGAAGTTTATGCATGACACCACAACCTTCATGACAGAATCCCACGTCAACACTTTGCAGCACAGTGCTTGCTGGTGAATTAGGCAATGGACTTGTAGCGGGGCGGTGAGACCCCGTTCTTCCATCTCCCGATTCATGCGTCCTATAAGACCCCGAGACACGCCCACCATACTAGGAGCCCCGTCAGTTGTGATGCTGGCCAGCTTTGACCAGTCGAGGCCCAACTCTTCTATGGTTTGGTACACTTTGCCGAAAATATCCTCCCCCGTCGTAGTCCCTTTGAGACTTTGGAGGGCTGCCAGCTCCTCGCACATCTCAAAGTTTGCACTAATTCCACGAATAAAAATGAGCAGCTGCGCGGTGTCCTGCACGTCCGTGCTCTCATCCAGTGCTAATGAAAAAAATTCAAATTCTTTCGTCTTATGCTGCAGCTGGGCATATACATTATCACCGATTTGTTCAATGCGTCTGGTGATTGTACTCGCTGATAGACTCACGGCATTAAAAACATCTTTCTTCTCGGGACACACCTCCTCCGCGACAGCGATCATGCATTTCTTGACAAACTCTCCATCAGTAAAAAGGTTTACCGCTGCTTGCTATTAGTTGAGCAACCCGAAAGCTGGCCGAAACAGATGACTGGTTCAGCTGAGCTTGGCGTACAAATGTATTCTGCTGAGCTAACAGTCCACTTTTTAGCTTCGCGAGTTTGTCTGCTCGCAATTGGCCTTGCAAGCTAGCAAACTTGTCTTTGTGGCGGGATTCATAGTGTCGCCGCAGATTGTATTCTTTGAATACCGCCACCGCCTCTTGACAGATGAGACAGACAGCCTTTTCTTTGCATTGAACAAAAAAATAATCGTTTGTCCACTGCAGGTTAAATGCCCTGCATTCTGAATCAATTTTTCTCTTACCTAATCTTTTCGCCATTATTCCGTTCTCTCTTTGAGAAGGGCGTGTTTAGGTTTTTTTTTCTGGGGGTTGCCAGATAAGGGCAAAGACCGCAGAAGGGTGGAACAGAATGTCACGCTATATGCGTGTATGAAATAGTTACTAACCAATAGTTAATAATGAAAATAGTCTATAACTAAGGAACATTTTATTGCTGTTGTTTGGGTGGGGGGGGGCCAGTTAGAGGGGGGGGGGGGGCCGTCACCCGCCCGGGGGGCCGTAGTTTGGGGACCACTGTCCTAAAAGAACACCTGAACTTTCAAAGATAATTTGGCTCATATGTCGTCTACCGCCATCTAGTGGCATCAAGTGGAATTACAGTTATGAAATTCGTAGTTATGCATGAAACAGAAGGATTGATGTCGGGTTTCTTTTTATCAGACCTTGTACAGCGTTCAGCGGGCTGGATTACAAAAGCGCATCTTAAATTAGGAATTTAAGATATTAGAAATTGTATTTCTCACGTATCGTCAAAATCTAAACCTGGTTTAACTTGAACTTTTTGTGTGCAGGAAATCCCACGCAGCACTCTGGACTCATTCATGCAGCCGTTCCAGAGTACACTGTGGCTGTTAGTCGGTCTGTCGGTCCATGTGGTGGCAGTGATGCTCTACCTATTAGACCGATTCAGGTGAACACGTCACATTATTATTATTTTTATTACTACGTTTTGGCCTCAGAAAACCAGATTTTAGTTTGTGTGTATGCAGCCCGTTTGGAAGGTTTAAAGTCAATAGCGAAGAAGAAGAAGAAGACGCCCTCACCCTTTCGTCAGCCATGTGGTTCTCATGGGGAGTACTGCTGAACTCCGGTATAGGAGAAGGTGAGGAGTTTCTCCAATCGTCTCCCCGCGTTTCTTCCTCCGTCCTGTCGGCGACGACAACAACAGCAGTGTGTCTTGGTGTTCTGTGCAGGAGCTCCTCGGAGTTTCTCGGCGAGGATTTTAGGTATGGTGTGGGCAGGATTCGCCATGATAATCGTAGCATCGTATACTGCCAACCTGGCAGCCTTCCTGGTGCTGGATCGGCCTGAGGAGCGCATTACTGGCATCAACGACCCCAGGGTGAGGCGGTTTGATCCTAAGAGGTTTCAGTTTGGACTAGGGCGAGTGATCGCGTCGTCTGTTCACTGATGCGTTTATTGATTTATGCAGAGGACGGCGGTGACTGGTGAGAAATATACTTGGCGCTTCAACTCCTCCACAACTCACGCTCTGTCCGTCTGCTGTTTGTCTTTAGCTGCGGAATCCGTCAGATAAATTCATCTACGCCACAGTGAAGCAGAGCTCGGTGGATATCTACTTCAGGCGGCAGGTGGAGCTGAGCACCATGTACAGGCACATGGAGAAGCACAACTACGAGAGCGCCGCCGAGGCCATCCAAGCAGTCAGAGACAAGTAGGCTACCGTTTCATTTATTTCTCCGGTCGGACACCCTTAACAGCGCCACCTGTCACACCCGTCTTTGTCCTCCTCCCGCAGCAAGCTCCACGCGTTCATCTGGGACAGCGCCGTGTTAGAGTTCGAGGCCTCGCAGAAGTGTGACCTGGTGACAACGGGAGAGCTTTTCTTCCGCTCGGGATTCGGCATTGGAATGAGAAAAGACAGTCCGTGGAAACAGAATGTTTCCCTGGCTATTCTTAGGTAAAATAAACCTTTTTTTTTATTTTCAAAAATAAGTATCAGACTGATGTCACTTTTTTTTGTTGGTTTGAAAAAGATGTAGATACAGTAGAGACCTGTAAAAAAACTTAGTTTAAAAAATTTAGTAAAATACCCCAAATAGCCTAGTATTACTGTGATTTATATATGAAAAAAACA